TCTTTTAAATAATATCCTATTGTTACTGATAATTCCAACAAGAAGAAGTTGGTGTGTACACACTGGATAAAATATATATGAATATTTCCTTCGTATGATAATCTGTCCGTTTGAAGTGTGCAATTATCGAAAAATAACAGCGGTAATTGCACAGTGTGCAATTATCACTCAACGATAATTGCATTGTTTACGAAAATTATTTGACAGGTGTCTTTTCCTGTTGAATTAGACATCAAATGCCATCCGGACATTCTTAAGTTATTCAAATCATATTTGTTATTTAAACTTAAAAAAATGTCTTGTTTTGGTGTTAAATCACCTACTACAATAAAAGAAGTTGTTGCTGCGACCGTGCCCACGAATACTATCAACAATCAAAAATATATCTGGCGGCAGTTTCTAGCATTTTGTGAAGAAAGATGTTACAACTTAAGTAAAGACACTACTGTGCACCAAATTGCAAACATTCTACAAGACTGGGCGTTCAACATGAAAAGACAGAATGGTGAGGATTATAAAGAATATACTATAAAAACTATTTGGAATGTTACCGCTAAATTAGTAATGGATAAATACTACAATAAACATAACGTTCGCTTTAATCCGTTTCAAGACATCGAATTTAAATTGGCTCGAGAAGCTAAAAACGCAAAACGGAAGGAGCTACAACGGAAGCCCCAGAAAAGAAAAGAAAGCTCTGTTTTCATGAAATATGAGGAATTTAAGAAAATGGTCGAAAGCTGTGATGAAGACACTCCAGGTGGTCTGCAACAGAAGCTATTCTTTGTATTATCCTATGAATTAGCATGGCGGGGAGGAGAAGAATCGAGATGCTTGACAACATATTTCAAAAAAGAAGTTGACAATGTAGGCGGAAAAAGCGGAAGAGTTGAATATAATCCAATATTTACCAAAACGACACAAGGTGCAGATTTGCCCAGTTCGACTCTTTCACAAATTCATGTAGAAGAGGTCAAATATCAAAATAAACCGTCTCTTTTTAACCATCAACCCTGCTTGGAAAACGAGTGAATGGTACAAAAATACACCTTCTGGTAGGAATACGATCAGTCAGTGGACTTCTAAGCAAGGAGAAAAAGCAGGTCTAGCTACTGCCTCAAAAAAACTGACAAATCATTCTCTGCGAGCAACAGCCGTTTCAAAATTGGCTAAGAAAGAGGTTGGAGAACAGCAGTTAATAAAAATTACTGGACATTCAAACTCCCAATGGATGATGAACATCATCTGCAAATAATTGAAAAAATGAGAGACAATGATGGTGCTGAAGTCCAGCCAAAAATGTGTGAACAGCGGTGTCTTCAGAATGTTCTCCATCAAGTGTTTCTGTAGTTCCCGCCAAATCAGCTGGGGCAACCGCTAAAAGTAACACATATTTTAACTCCAGGTTGAATTGCAGCTCTTGCAACTTTTAGAAAAGGCTTTATTAGACAATAATGGCCGCAATAATAGTGTAACTTTTAATAGAATATCAAAGTAATAAAATGAAACCACATTAACTTTGTTTACCCAGAAATATTTATAAAAATTATACTCATGCATCAAAATAAACAGATAATTTTGCATTCGAACTTGTTGTCTTGTAAAAACTGCATTCGTTTATTTTCACATTGGAACGAAGAAGCCCGACTCCGAAGGAGGAGCATTCGAGAAAGCATTCCAATACTCGAATTATTCGAGTTTGGTTCCGAGCTCTCGTCAGAAGTCATAAGAATTGAGTCTTAGATATACGGTCTAAGCGTCATAAGTCATAGTTAAGGTTCGGTTACAACTAAATTCTATTGTTTGTATTAATTTGGAAATAAATTGTTTTTAAAAAGCAAACTTTCAAATTAATCAATAAAATTGGCGCAGCCGTTCGGATTTTCTTCCGGGGTGTAATTTTCGAAATATCACGTGTATGGCACAAGTAATTCGAACAATAGAAACCAGTGCACCCTCCTATTTCAACAGCTAAGGAAGAACCAAAGAACTACAACCCAACGAAGACACCTTTGGCTCCTGACCAAGACATATTTGGCTCCTCAAACAAGACATCGCATTCTGGTCCGCCACAACGATAGAGCCACTAGGACAATTTGGCTCAGTCCAGTTGTCCACATGCAGGCAGCAACCATGATACTAAAACTAACTCAGTTTAGTATCATGGGCAGCAACGACCCGACCAATATCTGCTCAGCGAAGTGATGTCCTGATACAGGCTGGCCTGTATCAGGACTAGAAATAATAATAAATATAAATGATAGACTAGAAATAATTGTAAGTGCATTCAGTTATTGAAGAATTGTTTCTGAAAGTTGGACAACCTGTTAATTAAGCTACAAAAAAGCTAGATTATCATCTAGTCAAAACTATACTAGGAGTAAAATCTAGATATTAATCCCGAAAATATTTTAACTTTAATTAATAATCAAACAAGCGAGATGGCTGACGCTTTCAGATCAATTGTAACTTAATTAAAAACTGTCAATAACAAGATTAGAATATTTCTATATCAAATTGATACAATCTATTCAAGATATTTTATTAACGACGTATCTCAACAAGAGTATGTAATGTTAGCAATTAAATAAAAAATTATAGGTTTTGTTGAAGATTTCCCTCTCACAAGACCCGATTTAATAAATTGGCCAGAAATAAAGTTGCCTCTTAGACAAAAATTCAGTGACCCTATCACTAGAGCAAATCTTCAACAACAATTGATATTTTTAGGCAAAAAGAATGAGTCAACTCAAGACTATATTCAAAAACTCAAAGCTTACTTACTCATAAAAATTTTAAAAATTGCACTGAAGTGAGTAATACTGAAGCACGAGCAATTTTAATATGTCAAATTTGGAAACGTGAATCCCTTTCGACAAGATTGTAACGATTAAAAAGTGACCTAGTTCAATGATATTGCAATTATGTGCAACACTGTTCCTGTTCCACTTAAAGAACGAATAATGTCTTTGAAAAACCTTCTTTCTCAAAACCCAGATACATTCAGATTTAGGATAAAACTTCTAAAACTTGAAATAAATAAAAGAATAGTTGAGGAAATTGAGCCATTACAAATCAATGAAATTGATTTTCAAAACATTGTTCATCACACGGAAGATGCAAATAATTTAATTACGCACCCTATAAAAGAAATTGAGTATTACTCATGGAAGTATCTCATTTATACTTATTGTAACAATAATTGTAATTCTCATTATATGTATTACAATATATTTTTATTATTGCAGAAATAAAAGGTAAAATGTAAAAGTGGACATAAATTTGAAGACTCTCGAAAATAAATCCTTATTTTGTCGTACTTAAGAAGGGAGGAATTATATGGCTACTTATGCCAACTATTCTTATAAAATAAGACGTAGTATCGTTTCTGCTACGATCGGCATAAAATTTAACTATAAAAGCCACAGCAGAAACGAGAATTCAGTCGCAGATAGTCTACAGTCAATCTTAGTCAGTCTAAAGATCATCTCAACATATACAAGTCATAGTGAAGGTTGGGTTACAACTGAAATCTATTGTTTGTATTAATTTGGAAATACATTGTTTTTAAAAAGCAAACTTTCAAATTAATCAATAAAATTGTAGGTAGGTATGTTCCTAAAATTAAAAAAAAACAATTTGTTTTAAATTCATGCAATGGGGGGAGTTCAATCCATTCATCAAATGGGGGGAATGCAATTAAGGAGTTCTACATGGAACGAAATAAATACTCTCAAGGCATAAAATCAGGATTATATGATGGATGTGACTAAATCTCTCAACCAAGTTCCGATAATTAACTCTTACTTGATGTTTGCCCAATTGTGGAACAAACACATTTTAATTTATAATTTGGTTTAATTTCCACTTCCTTTTTAAGGCTTTATTTCTATTCACTACACAACTTCTTACCTACTTGCAGTGCCTGCGTGCTGCCTGCGTGCTGCCTGCGTGCTGCCTGCGTGCTGCCTGCGTGCTGCCTTTCGGAAAATAATACAATAAAATATGTCTGAATTGCGCGCTGATCTTTTATTCTCAAATTGTAATAAAAATCAAACTACATAACTTATCCATACAATTGATTTACTCTATATGAAAGGTCCAAAGAAAGAAAAATAATATAGTTTAGGTGCTTTAAACACGTTGACTAGGCAAAAAATTGTCTTAAGACCACTATTGAGAAAATCAGTTAGTTGTCAATCCAATATTACTCATTTGGACATTGTTATTTTAATCGAATCAATAAATGTAACCTTAATAATAATGAATTAAGATACAAATATAGTTACGGCCGAAAATGTTCATTCCTATATAGGTTCAAAACTGACAGTAAAGTACAAAAAAAAGTGAAAAATGTCACTAAAGTTGATATATTCATAAGAAGTTAAATCATAAATTTAGCAGCAATATATTTCATTTGCACCTACAATCGACGTATAAAATTACTTAAATAATTGTTGCGTGATACGTAAATCAACAACTGTAACTTGTGAAGCTAAAAGTCAATTAGACAAACCAGTTCCTCACCTTTTGATCTCTCGTCTGGCAGACGCGGGCATATTTTTACTTCTTTTTGGTTTTGCAGCTGCGAGGTACGATTATGCGGGTTTTGCGTTACATTTTTCTCCATGTTTAACACCTCAGCCTTGCATCAAATACCAATAAAATATAATATACCATATAAATAGAATGACCTCTGTGAAATGTACATTTCATCGCTTGGCAGGCACTATAGCTTGAGGATTACGAGGCGTTCAAGTACCCTCACAACGCGATCCGGCCAGTGAAGTCCAGACCTCCGAAGCTCCTAAAGTATCTCTCACAAGGATAAAGTCACAAAACACGATAAAATCGACAAACTTGTTCCCTACATTCAAAGCGATCAGGATCCAATCGTTTCTTATCATATCATTTTTTAGTAACAAGACCTCAAATATTCTGGAATAATTTTTGGCTTTCTAACGTTTCATTTTTCTAACAACTGCATTTTTCTTCCTCAGGCTTTTGGAATCAACCCAGTTACTGAATTTCCTGAATAATGAGTATCATAAATCATCGTGTGCTACTAGAGGATCACCCATCATACTTAAAATGGTTTGGAACTGGTGCTGTTACGCTCATTTATGCTAAAGTAAGTATCGGATTAACAGAATAAGGTTTTTGCTGTGAGACCTTCCTGTAAATACCTGGAATTGTACTAGTAATTCAACATTTTCGTTTGCGTATCCTGCATTACAGTACTTTAACTGAAATACTTTATGCTTTTGATCAGGGCTGTTCAATATGAGACACACGCGTGGACCGCATGCGTCCCGTGATCTCAAATTATGTCGAGCGCCGCGGTAAGCAAAAGCATGTCGAGTTATGAGCGGATGGTAATTTCGAAGATTCCCTCCCGGAAAGGGAATCACGACTAGTGCTGGGCACCATCGAATGATTTGGATTATCAAATAATTACTGAATGAATGCGTATGAGTTGAATGAGTTGAATGGATCATTCGAATAAATTAATTTATTGAATAATGTGCGCTATCTAGTGCAATGTAGCAAAGTTACCAATTTTAAACTTATATTATTTTGAAAATACAGGTTCCTAGTTAATATGAACTGATTTAGTACTGTACTTTAATGCTGTGTAGTTCGTGAACAAACTAGCTCAAAAGATGGAATCAGGTAACTGAACTAGACAGAACGTGGCATTTCTCGCATAATCTCACTCTTGAAGTAGACCGATACCGATGACGCCGATTGAAGTGATTGAAGCAATAGCGCTTCCTTTTACTTCCACGCAGTTTCTTTCATTTGGCGTTGCCGACTTTGTAGTTGGGAGCCCAGGGGATGAAAATAGACGATCCTTGATCAACTTTTGCTACATTTTATAGAAATTGAAGCAGATCGAAAAGTGTGTACGTATTGTTTTATATTATAAATGTCGTCAAATCCAATAAATACAACAAGTTTGACAAGTCTCAGCTGTCACTCGAGAAGGAGTAATTTGACGTTTCGCAGCGCCACCATCGGTAGTTGAACTCGGGAATTGGCAGCGTAGTGACAGCGGCAGTAACTACACCAAAAAGAACAAAATCTCAGACTGATTTGAGAAGCTACGCGCATGTAAAGAAACCGCTGTCTATATCTAGGAGTAAAGAGGTCGATGAACAAATTTTACGATGGATTCTAAAAGGATTTCATGCATTTCGAATAGTAGAAGATGAATTTCTGAAGCTTTGTGATAATACTTTACTACAACAGCAGTACCAAGCAAGGAGGGAAAAAATTGAAGAAGAGTTGGACCAGGTAGATTTTATTTGTATTTTAACTGACAGTTGGAGCTCTGCCAATATTTAAATATTAAAATCTTAGCTGTTGGATTGTTTCGTATATAAAGAAAAACATACGGCCCGAAATCTTGCTGCACTCTTATTATAAATTCAAAGAGTAGAAAATTGAAAAAAGATTGAAAATATTCTTGCTGCTATGCGGAAAGACGGGTGAAAATATCATGGTTGTTACGCACATTCAATAAATCTCTTGGTTCAAAACGGGTTGAAAACAATAAATCTTATTTTATAAAAACTGAAAACAATTGTTTAATTTTTTAAATAAACTCTTCTTCGTTAGCAAAATTAAAAACTACAGAGCTTCAAGTGGGATTTCCAGAATTGAAAATTAAACAAGATGTGAAAACCCGGTGAAATCCAACCCTTGACATGTCGATCGAGCAAGCAAATGCAAAATTAAAGAAGCAATTGCAACCTTAGCTCCAGAATGCTCAAATTTAAACCAATTAAGTGTCGTTGAATGGTGCGTACGAGAAGAACTGGTAGATATTTTGCAGATATTCAAAGATTTTACTGACGAGATCAGCGCCGAAAAGAATGTTACGTCATCAAAAACGATCATCAAATATTTATTTATGTTCGTGCGATTTATTACCATCTTCGACGCTTGTCAAGTAATCTCCAGTTAAATGAAGAATTGAAGAAAGTTGTAACTGACATGCTGAGTCAATTCTATTCGCGGTTTGGAGACATCGAGGACATAGACATTTTAGCCGAATCGACCATTCTAGGCCCCCGATTTAAAAAATTCGGCTTTAAAGATGAAAGTAAATACGTAGCCTTAATAGCTAATTTGCGGAAAAAGCTTTGTGCTATTCATCTCCAGGCCAGTAGTGATGCCAAAGTCCTTCACGACGAAAATGATTCTTCCTCTATCAAAAAATCAACAGTGTGGGCTTATTTTGATGAAAATGTAACTAATATGTTGAAAGAGAAAAATGCAAGTGCCGCTGTGGTAATAGAACTAGATAGATATGTAAATGAACCTTTGATAAAGAGGAATGAGGACCCTTTTTCTTGGTGGAGGAGCGTGAAATAGGATTTATCCAACATTATTTAATTACGAAAAAAATAGATTATGTATACAAGAGCTTTTCAAAGCTGGTTTAGTTTTCACAGAAAAACGCTTATCTCTAAAAAGCTCACTAGACAAATTTTGATTTTAAATAGCATTTATAGCATACTTGTACAATTGTATTGATTGTATATTATTTATTTTTCAATATTGTTAGATACTTCATAATTTCTATTTTTTGTTTTAAAGTAGTAGTACTGGTGCTGCAAACAATGAAATGTTTTATCTGATTTGTTATGATATTATTTTAGAAGTTATACATTTATTTTGTATATCATTTAGAAATAAACGGAATGACAAAGAAACGATCGGGTATCTATTTTTAAATTTTTACTACATACAAAACCGGTCCGTTCACAACGTGCAAACTGTTACTTCTCACAGCAATCTGGGATTATCCAATTTCTGATGATCCAACCTTATTTGATGCACGCGATTTAATTGATTCTAACTGATTTGGGCCCTGATTTTATATTAGGAACAGGCGAAAGCGGAAAATAAATTTCTGGTGGTTTTGATGGGTCAACAAAACAATGACAAAGAATACTGCTCAAAAATGTCTATCTCACTCGCACATGTTTATATAGACAATCTCAGAGAAGATACATTTAGTTAAATCATGTAAATCAAAAACGCCTCCAATCTCCAATAACACAAAGACAAATAAATGGACATTAAATTTCCAGCAATATAACAACACATGGTATAAAATATGTCACTTATAATGTCTTGGAACTATAACTAAAATTAAATTGATCGTTTATTTATAATATTTTCATTCAATGATGAAAATTAACCAACTGAACTAAATAAACTAAACGAACTAATTTTTTGTACTATTCACTTTGCCGATCGAGATTGAAAGATGGAAATCAGCAGGGTGAACTAAACTTCCCATGTCTACTGTACTTTTTTCATTAAAAGGTAATACAGCGACTTAAAATACATCTTTCAGATTCGCGATGCATCGTGTACTGTTTAACCCCCATGCGTTGTGATTAACTTAAATTGGTGCGTGGAAGGTGAAAAGTGAAGAGCCGTGGAGATCATTTCAAGCGCAGTACTCTTACATGTGAAAAATGAATGGCTATGTAGAAACAAATTGGTCTAGATGAATTAAAAGTTTAACAAGATGTTGCTACAAGGTGAAACTCTACCTTGATAATCATAGAAAGGCTCGTTTTATAAGAATGGGAAATGCTCACCGACTGTATTCCGATTCTGAAACCTGTGGAACGCATTACTGTAGAGTTAATAACAGGCCTACAACATTTTCTTAAAAACGGAAATTCTGAGACATGTAGATTAGCACTGAAATCTTACTTAATCAAAGTGGTCGGTAGTGGACTGGAAATGTTATAAAATAATTCGCTTTGTGCAAAGGTGATACTATGCAATACTGATGCAGCTATGAAGTTATAGATGAATTAAGTGTCATTTTAAAGGCTCAAATTACCGAAAATAAAATTTCAAAAAGACTGGAAGGAGAAATGAAGGAATGTAAAAAACTCGACGATATTTGGGCACATTTTCACTACAAACATGTTGCTTATATCTTGTTAATTATCCATATTTATTTAATCTGAATGTTTGTATTTATTACTTATGAATGAAATATATGAATGAATACCTACTACTTATTCATAATTCTATTATACATGGTGATTCAAAATTGGCGTCGTTCCTCTGGAGGTGTTTTGGGAGTACAGGAAAAATAGTAAAAACAATTAATTTGTATTAAAAATTGAGACCGTTGCAAAAAACTAGATCAGAAGAATGGCAACAATGTTTTTCAAAGTAATCTGCCTCATTAACATTACGTAAAGACCTGTGCTTCTTAATTATTACAAACTGTAGTAACCATGGGTAAACACAAAACAATAAAAGTAAAAATGCCATGAACATGAAATACTTTGAGGTTCCTCGAGAGAGTTATCGGGACAATTAACCGGTGCCTGGAAAATTGTCAGTTCTCGTGCAATGCTTCGCGTTCTCCTGGAAGGGTCTGCTGCAATTATCTCTAACACCTGTTCCGCTGGGTCTGGAACCCGAGCATCTCAAGATCGTCCACACTATCTGCGTGAATTCCTGGATCCAATCGTCCAGTGTCTTTGTTGGTGTAAGTTCTTACAGCTTCTGCTATGTTGCTGAGGCATTTTCCCATAACTAATCACATATTCGCAAATTCGATGTTGGTGTACATTTTGTGAAAGCAGCTTCAAAGTAAGTCACAGTTTGACAAATGCTTGGTATTATTGACAAAGGCTGTCTAGTTGTAACTATCTGTTAATGATGAAAAGCATCATCGCCGCTTGAATTTTCATCAAAAAAACTGTAAGAGAGAGCTTTTTTAATATAAAAAAATGTGTAGTTTGAAGCAAATATGGTAATTTTCCTTCTCGAACGGTTAAGTATTCCAATAGGCCTCCAATCAAAGAGAAGACCATTTCAAAATAATACTTAATAGCAAAGTTGAAATATTCTGTTACTTTAACTATTAATATATTCTATAAATTTTCGACAAAAATGTTTTCAATATTTTTCTCGTACTCTCCATAACTCCTTAAAAGAAATGACGCCAATTTTGAATCATCCTTTCTTCCACTTTTCTACACGGTATAGAGGCTTGGACGCTGTCAGACGCTATGGACAGAAAGCTGCAAGTTTTTGAAATGTGGATTTTCAAAAGAGTTCTTAGAATCTCTTAGATAGACAGAATTACCAACGATACCAAGATTTCAATAAATGAATTTTGGAAGAAAAACAAAGTTTAATAAATGAATATAGAATATCGTTGCATAGGAAGTGGAAAACTCATATATTTAAACTTTAATTTAATAGTAATATCACACTTATTATTATAACACATCACAAGCATCAAAGCACATCAAACAAAGGAATGAACAAAAAAGAAAAAGCAAAACAACTAAAAGACACTTAACTAAAATAAAAAGAGCTAAATTTATAGTGAGTCTTTTGTCTCTTCGTCGCGCACAGTTGGCTCAAAAGTTTTTTGGTTTAGTAACATGTTGTTTAAGCGTCTTACTCGAGTTCCTACCTTGCTGCATACCCCATCCGTCCTCTGTAGCGATAAGCAAAACCCGCTATCAAAACAAAACCACCTATCAAGGGAACTCCGTGTCCTGCTCCTTGGACCGCCACGCACCAAGTCATATCCGTTTTGCCATCCATGTGCCAGTTCAGCTTGTTCGTTTCCCTTCGCATCTATTTGTTTTCCGATTTGTTATGAATTGTGCAATTGTTTGCCAGTCATAATGATCACTTCCTGCTATTGTCCATACTTGTCCGACTCCAGTCTTGTTTCACTATGTTGCTGCATTAAAGTGCCACCACACCTCTCTGCAGCATGTCTATCCATTTAGCCAATCGTTATCCTTTTGTGCCAGTTCGTCCTCATTCTCTTTTGTTCTGTCATTCATTATCCTGCCATGTGCGTTATATCCTCTTCATTCCTTGCGTGTGTCCTTATCTAATCTATTTCATTTCCATTTTTATTCATCCATGCCAATCTATATATTTCGTTACTTAAAAGTTTTACCTTCTGTGTCCTGTCGTATCAATCTTTTCGCGCCGGCCGAGGGGTGTTTCTGTTCTGATTATGGTCTGCGCCGGTTATTTAATTTTACCGGTACCCCAATTAAGTGGGCTTTTCCGTTTGCCGAAACGGCAAACGTGTCCCACCAGCGGGAAGACATAGCCAGCGAGATGGTCTAGGAACAGAGATGCCCCAGAAGAAAAGGAATTGCACAAAACCCGACGTCACTAAGATGGCCGCTTGGCGTGGCGTCGTTTTTTTTGTGACGATTCATGACGATCACCCTCGTATCGCTTCAGGATGCACTCCTTTCGGAACTCCGTGGTCAATCCCTTTTTTCTGACCGCCTTCCAAAGACCCTTGAACCATGGAGTACTGTCGTTCCGCGCACGACTATTTGAATGGTTCCTCCAAAAGAGATGTTCAGGGCGGTCGAAGAAAATTGTCAAAAAGAATCTAGAAAATGAAGTGTTTATCGATAGATCTGCCAAGCGGCACACATCAAGTCTAACATTTAATTAAAAAACATTATTATTATATTTGCATAGTTTGTAGTCTTTAAACGAGTAACATTTTATTAAAACTTCATTTATTCAAGATAAAAAAAAGATTTGTTTATCGTTCGAACTCATTTATTGGAAAATTCAGCAGTGTGTGTCGTACTCACATGCCATATGTACACACTTTGGTTTTAACAGAACCGTTGAATGGTATAGTATGATGTAAGCACAGATTTGGTGCCATTTTCTACGAGTATACATATGATTGCAGCATAAGCCGAAGGCGAATGTTGTAATTTATGCTCGTAGGAAATTATAGTCATTACGTTATTAATCACAGGACTGAATTTGCATCATTATCCCTCAGTCGTAAGTAAAGAATAATTTGTTCTTAGAAGGATAAAATACGACCTGCCATTTCATGTTTGTCCAGATCAACTCCCTGAAGCCGCATGTATTCTTGATCTGCTGCTAATTTGTTACAGGACATCCTGTACATTTGATTACAATTGCTTATTGACGTTTTTATTTATAAATACATCAATTCCTGTCTTAATAATTATATTAACTGTCTTTTCAGAAACTTAGTGTATCGTCAAATAGTGAAGATAGGAATCTTAATAGCGACATTGACCCAGAGACATCAGTTGAGGAGTGTGACCTTACTGGGCAGCCTCTTTACGTGGATTTAGGTGATAATTCAAATAATGCAATAGAAACTTTAACACATCAAAGCCATGATCGTATATGGCCTAAAGATGAGCTGAGACATTATCCTCTTCCAGTGAGAGAAGCCAGGTAAATACACAAATATTCTGAATTCAGAAAGTGTATATGTTACCGGTAATGTACAAAATCCGGCAATGTACAAAATGCCTAGGCATTCTGCAAACTGACCAACTCGCCAGGGATTTTGCAGAATTGCTACTTCTTTATTACCCAATAATCTGCGCATTGGCTACGGTATTTTAGGCAATGCAAAATGCCGTACGCGTTAGTCAATGCGAGTGGCACATATGTTAAATCTTCGCATTGATTAGACAATGAGCATAATACATAATGCATTGCTGTTTAATGTAAAATGCTAATCTTTGTTGTTCAGTGATAAGGCAAGTTCAAGCGGAAAGAGAGACATATTTTTGGTAAAATTAAATTAATTGTTATATATTAATTAAATGGTACTATCTTGTGTTACCAAATACAAAACAATTTAATATGATAAGATTATTTAACACTAATGTTAAAATTTATCAACAGCATTAAAGAATAAAAGCCTAAATTATGAGGTCTATCATAACCGCTGAAGTTATTTAAATTTTTGTGCACACTCACAAAATTATACCATCAGTTTGTTTTTATTAACGACATTTACATATTTACAGCACATCATTTCTCGAAAATCTTGTATGTTATTACATACTTTTCTGGTTTCCATTCTAAACTAAATAATATGTAAACCCGACTACCAAAAAACCAACATTTTCTTGCACGGCGCTAATAGGACAGGAATATGAACAAACTAATAATCAATAGACAACACTGGAAACGCGGTAAATTTTACAAAGTTGTTTGCAACTTAGAACACTAAACAGTAAACTTTCCTTGTAAAACTAAACAACAAAGTTCTGTTGCAAAACTAAACTAAAAAGTTTCGTGAGCAACGGGTTTATACACATTGTTTAGTGTCAATGTGAAGATTAAGCATATGTGACACTCACATTGACTAACGCGTACGGCCTTTTGCAGATTGCCTGAAATACCGTGGTCAACTTGCACATTGCCCAAAGTAGAAGCCACTCTGCAAAGTAAGTGCCTGACGAGTTGCTCAGTTTACAGAATGTCTAGGCATTTTGCACATTGCCGGATTTTGTACATTGCCGGTAACATATGTATCTTAAGTTGTCACTAATACATACATGCTGACTAACGCAAGAGTTTTGAAACTTTGGCAAGCTTGTCTACGAGTGCATCAACAGATCTGTTATCTGCATTGAATATTGTTGAAACCACTTTCAAACTAATGTTGTTTTAGGAAGACACTGAATAAAATTCTAAGAGAAGGAAATGTTGGAGCTTCACAACCTTATTATGTATTGTGTGCTGGTGACGACAGTTCAAAAACTGTTCTACTGGGAGCTAATATTAGTGATTTTATGGGGTGTTCAGTACAACTGTTAAAACCACTACCTGCATGTAAAGTTGAGAGCAGCTTGGAAGACATGGTTCTTGCACATTTGAGAAATTGTTTTACCGACAACAGCCAGGTATGATCTCAAAAGAACAGTACTTATTTATTGTTTTTATTAATATAAAATAATAAAAACTTTGTTTTTGAAATACAAATTTAAATCATAGAAACAAACGTTTATCACTGATCATTTATTGTGACATGTAAGTTAATTTTTTTAAGGATTTTTTTCTCGGCTTAAGCGGACAAATAATTTTTGGAATAAGAAAAATTTACTGCTTTACTGGGACGAACATGCGGGCTTCATGAGCAGGTTCAAGTCCCTAGTTTCATCAAGTCAGATGCTATGAGCCTTGATGTAGCGTTTCTCCGAAAGCGGTTTTTTATTATGTATTATTTAGTTTTAAGATTGTGTATGGTAGTACATATATCTAAATCTGACGGGTAAATTTACTTTTCTTCTAATGTTTTAGATATTGTATAATATCACTAATACATTTTCAGCCTATAAAACTACATTACTTTACAGACTTCATTTTTAGATAAAATATTTAGTTAAAATGTCTTACAACGTTTATGGAGGGAATATAGACAATACCACTGATCAGAAGGCTTCAAAAATACTAACTGACGGAAATATTTCCGTTGATATTACTGCGCAAAAAAATATCTTTAGGCCACGTAAAAACGGTGTAGTCGATGTAAAAATGGTAAGTCATAAAATTATATTTAAAAATTTAGCTATTATACAGGGTGTTTATTAAAATTTCTTAAATTATACAAGTGCAACAAATTTCAGAGGGTGATTCTGTATGAAAAACTAACAACAGTTTACTTATGATTCATACAAGGGGATTCAAAATTGGCGTCATTCCTTTTAAGGGTATATAGAGGTACACTTAGAGAGTACGAGACAAATATAGAATATTTGTCTCGTAGAGTCGGAAAGCACGGGAGATCACTTCGCCCACTGCCTCATCGCCTTTGATAATGTCCACCGCAGTTGTGGACGAAACGTCAGGAAGAAATTCCCATAGACCACGGCTTCAAAGCCCGGAAAACATTCCTAAAAGTGATTTAACCGGCCGTGAAAGCCTTCATAGTCTGGTAAATATAGAATAATTTTTTTTCGAAAATTTCGAGAAGACATTAACAGTTGAAGATCGAATTTCAACTTTGTTATTAAGCATTATTTTAAAAAGGTCCCACGTTTGATTGGTAGCATATTGGAATACTTAAGCATTCGATAAGAAATTACTATCTTTTTGTCACATTTTTTATATTACAAAAGTACTCTTCTACAATTTTTTGGTGGAAAGTCAAAGCGGCAATGATGTTTTTTGTCATTAACAGATAGTTATAGGTAGACAGCCTTTGTCAATAATAACAAGCATTTGTCAAACTTTTGCTTATTTTGAAGCTCCTTTCACAAAATGTAAACCAACAGCGAATTTGCGAATATGCGATTAGTTATGGGAAAATGCCACAGTAACATAGCAGAAGCTTTAAGAACTTACACCAGCAAAGGACTACACCTAGACGAGTGGCCCGAAATTGACGCAGATAGTGGACAATCTAAAGGTGCTCGGTTTCCAGACCTAGAGGAACAGGTATTGGAGATTATTGCTGCTGAGCCTTCCAGGACTACATTCTTACCATGTATGTAATATGCACAAGACAATAGAACACATTAAATATCTGATCTTCCGAACACTGGTTCAAATTGAGCAGCAGCTAATTAACCGAACACGAGAAGCGGCTCGAAATATGAGTCCAGACTCAAAGTGATTGGGACACAAAGATATTTGGAGTGAAAGGGGCAGGACTTCTTGCTCTTGGGAACACTTGTGTTTTAGCAACAGAACTGTATTTTATTTGATCAATAGTATTGACCAATGATACAAAACCTTTAACAGGTGGTTTTGGATGACAGTTGTGACCTATTTAGTTATATCACTCATTTGCCCCAAAAAATGGCAGCACTCGGGGGGCTGTTTTGTCGCAGCACTGACCGCAAGGTGACACCGTTATCCTAACCTCAACGCATGTTATTGTCTATTTTATTGCCACTTTCTGTATAATTTCATCGTTACCGGGGTGTTTAATAATTACGAAGCAACAGGTATTTACATAATGTTAATTAGGCAGATTACTTTGAAAAACATTGTTGCAATCCTTCTGATCTAGTTTTTTGCTAATATCTGAGTTTTTAATAACATTTAATTTTTTTTCTATTTTTTCTGTACTCCCAAGACACCCCCAAACAACACGCCACGAATGACGCCAATTTTGAATCACCCTGTATGTCCGCAAATGATTCGTTTTCCTAGATACGGGGTGTTAAAGTTTTTCTTAAAAATTGACGATGTATTTATTGCTCTGAAACCGGCCGATGTAGGAAGGAGGTATATATTTATTTACATATGCAACTATGAATTTTATGTTCATCATTGGCGCACATACGGGTAAAAATGACGGTACGCCTCTCAGATATTTCAAATTAAAACTTGTTTTTCAAGTCGTCATTCAATTTACGACAAAAAATATGTTTTGCCTGTTTTTCTTATGAATAATGATTGAGATATTTTAACGAGCATTTTTCAGTTCTTTATTACATTATCAAGAACTATCTAATAAAATAAGAGTGTAACAGAAAATTACAATAATGAAATTTTTAAAAGGCGTATAGCCACAACAGATTTTCAAAATTACCTCCCTCAGACACAAGATTGAACTATTCGCCTCATTGATTGTCGTATGTGCGCAAATATTTCTAGTGTAATTCTTATTGCCTCACAGCCGGTTATAATTCGATTACTCAGGTCATGAACATTTTCAACGGGAGTAGAATAAAGTACTAATTTAAGAAAACTCTAAATGTAAAAATCGAGGAGATTTAAATCCGGCAATAGAGCAGGCCAATGTTTCGTGTCTCCTCTACTTATCCAACGATTTGGTTATACTTTGTCTAAGTGATTACGTATGTTAATGCTGAAATGGGATGGTGCCCCATCATGCATGTACCATAAGTGTTGTCTCAGCTGTAGCTGAGACGTAATTATACAAGTGATTGGCTAATTGGCTGCACTTAGAGCATTTATGAAATAAAATGTCATTATAAGGTGTTTTACTTTTTTGCATCAAAACAGCGAGAACCTCAAAAATGATTTCTAATTTAATCTATCTCAGTGGCGTATCATTTTTTTTTATTGAGATCACATTATCCATATATGCGCAAATGATAAAAATTCTTTATTGCATGTCAATAAATGTGCAGTCATCATCAAGGTGCGCAAAACCGAGTGGCTTGCATCGTCAGAGCTGGTTTGCTTGAGAACTTCCACCGTACTAATGCGGTTCCGTTTGAATATATTTTATTCAGCTAAATTTTTACAATTTCTTACTGCTAACTTATCTACGAGTCCTGATGCGGTTCCTCGGGCGTAGTCCGTATTTATGCACCTGTTGCGATAACGTGGGTTGTGATGGCGTGGCCTGTGGGATTGGCATCGGCGCATTCTGTTGTTTGTTGTTATGTTCCGGTGTAGTTGATTCTTCTTCCTGTCGCGTGTGCCGTTGCCTTTTCTTGCTTGTTTTGCGTTGGTGGGCGCCGGAAAACATATCCGATCAATCACGCCAGCACCTAAGCAAGATGCCAAAACGGAAAGCACATCTCCTGTCTTGCTTGCTTTTTTAAGCCGATGCAGGAATGCCAATATCATACCTGGTCTTCTGAGGTGTATAAGAACTCTAAAAACCACACAAGCACACAAAATCTACAACAGGAATGAAAAGTATTCCCTAAGGGAAAGAAAAGACAATGTGAGAAGCAAACTTGTAGCAATGGACAATAAACTGCTAAGCATTTTCTAAACTGGAAAATGGTCTTAACCAATCTGACTGAAGTAAGATCGACGCCATCTCTTTCAACACATGCACACCCAGCACGAACTGTGGTTAATTTCAGTAGTCATAGCTGAGGAGCAATCTGTCTTGGCGAAGGCGGCAAACTTTGCTATCAGTCCGAAAATGATTCCAATAGAACAGATCATCTCTGGCACCGAAGCTGCGCTGCAAGGACTTCCGGAACAAGCAGCAAATGAAATACACCTGAAAACCGCCCAAATCTTTCGAAGAGCAAAACCACCGCCAATCAACCTAAGGGGAGAAGATCAACCAGCTCTCAAAGAAATAATATGGAACACAAACATCGTTGTCCTTTCAGCTGACAAAGGCAATGCAACTGTCATTATGAGCAGACAGGAATATGAGCAGAAGATTCAAGACCTACTGGATCCAGCTACTTACCCCAACCAAAAATGAATAAAAAAACTTTTAGTGAGACCTTTCAATCTTAGTAAAACTCTTGTGCACTTATCGACCATAGAAATCGGTTATAAAAAATTTGCAAAGTTTTTCGAAAACCTTGTATTTGTTAATGCCGAAGTTAATTGGTAAGTCAGCAAAGTGTAGAAATTGTTTGTCTGGTCTGTGTGTCTGAGGGATAACTAAATTTCACTGCTTCATTTCAAGGTACTGTTTTAGTGGGCTATATGTGCATCGTGGATTCATTGCGTGAGGATTTAGTTCTTACGTTTTCATAGTTTTATACTTAGTGTTATTTATTTTTATTATCCCGTTTTTCAATCGCTTCAATATAATTTTTTTTTGGGAAAATAAATTGCTGTAATGTAAGTGTAAAATTGGTGTATTGTCTAAAGAGTTTGGCTTCCGCGGACATAGCTTGAAACTGATCAGTTTTTCGTGCTTTTACGTCGCAGTGGAAAATAATTATTTGCTCACGTTTCGCAAGCAATACTAGCTAGCAGTGTTTTTCTCGAAAGCTTACTGATACGGACTCGTGCGATAACCAACCACTCGTGCTTACTTCAGACCCGAAAAACTATTCAAAATTTGAAACTGTTTCTAAGCGTTTTAGTATTGGCCGCAAAACTCATAATCTCAACCAGCTAAGTATGGCAGATTGAGAATACTAGAAGTTATGATTATAGATTACTAAAATCGATAGACAGCGCGTAATACCAGACAACCAGAACAATGGCTGCTACAAGAATTAATCTCACTTACAATACGTTATGTTACGAACGCTTGTTGCATCTTTTTTTGTTTTTGTTATAAATGGAATATTAAAAGCCCATTTAGGTTAAAAGTGAATTTGCATTTTGAACTTTTCGTAAATTTTAAGTCACTGATTTCACGGTATGTTGACGAGTGTAATCTGTTTACGAGAAATAATGGTTTTGACAAAAATTTTGAATCAGTACTCATAATTCCAAGTATAACAGTTAGAAGATAATTACGGATTTTAGGATTGACTTGCAAATGTAGTTAAATTATTATTATTTGCTAATTAACGCTTTACTTTGTACGTTTTTCAGAATGTATCCGTTGTTGTCGGGCACCCACTTTTAAAATTAAGCTTCATTTGGCCACAGTTATTGAAGCTGCAACGAATATTTAGTATTCTTTCAGACAGGTAAATGATCCCAACATTTTAATCGTCAAACTTCACATTTGATTTTTGTTTAGCAGCAATTTTGGAAATAATGAAGGAAAAGTTTATGAAAAAATGTCTCTTTGTGATGTTCCTTTGGATACGGACGACATTCTTCAAAGTATAACTAACTTGGTTTCAATAAAGGAGTTTTGTCCAATTAGGAAAAAGGATGTTGTTGATGTAAACAACCTAAGGCATTTGAATATCTTAGATCGGTTATGGGATATTTTAAGTTGTAAGTATGTATTTTTGTTGCATTTGTCAAGATTGATGCAGACTTATCGGGTCACGTCCGATCCACCTAAATTCGTCTCCAGCGGCGTATTTATCATGGCAAGGAGCATAGAAAGCAAGCCTGAAAATGGGATATGGGGAACAGGAGAAAATTATGGAAAGAATTATGCTCTACAGTTTGCTATGCGTTAAGGTGCGATCGGCGACTGCAACTCGGGCTGCGTTTGCTCAACAACTTAAGACCAAAAAATGAGACGCGTGCTATATTCCAAAGTCGTCCAGAAGAAGGCTATTTCAATCTTCTTATAAATGACTATTTAAAACTGGATGATAATAAGTTCAAAGAATTATTTCGGTTAAATCCTGTTCAACTTGATTTTGTACACTTATAGCAAAGCAGGTAGGAAGACCTGGAACCAATTTCGAAAAATTTCCGGTAAGTGCAAAAAAAGAAGTTGGCTTAAAACATTAAGATAACGTAACATTGAAAAAGAAACAGCAGTTTTCACATAAATTTTACAAGATCTGGAGGCTTATCATATTAATCCACAAGTAAATAAGTAAAGTTTTACGATTCGGTTCAACTACAGGGTGGACAAAAAGATTCGAGCAATTTCCGCTTGCATGGTGATAGAGAACATTCGACAGATATGAAAATGATATACGTTTTTCTCCTTCTTCTTTGAGTACCGAACGTTGGCTACCATTCTGGCTATTATCACTTTGACTGCCGCGCGAAATGGGGATGTGGTGGACTTATAGAACCAATCTCGGAGGTTCTTTAGCCAGGATGTTTTTCTTCGGCCGGGCCCTCTTCTTCCTACTATTTTCCCGTGTATTATACAGTGAAGAATGTCCGTATCTGTCTGGATGTCGCATCACATTAGCAAAGTATTCTTTTCGTGTCTTAATTGTTTTCATTTTTTCAGTATCTTTGCCCATGCGCAGCAAGACGTCTTCATTTCGGACCCTGTCGACCCAGCTAACGCGCAGTGTTCTGGTACCCACATTTCGAAGGCTTCGAGCCTCTCTAGCAAAGTATCTGTCAATGCCCAACTTTCGAATCCATACAGCAGTATTGGGAATATGTAGCACTTCACCAGTCTAATACTCAGTTTCTTGCTAAGACTGCGACCACAAAGTACCCTTTTCCTTTTGAAGAACGCATCTCTAGACTTCTCTATACGGATTCTAACCGCTTTGCTTATATCCCAGTTGTTGTTTATATTGCATACGAGATATGTGATACTGGTGGTTTTTTCAAGTAAAATTTTATATGCTGTAATAGCTGTTTGATACACAGGAATGACTACTACTACGACTACGGAATATCGCAGACGATATACATACTGTTGACCAGGGGCAGATATTTTTTCCTTCACCGTTCACACCAGTCCTGGCTAATTGCGCTTGCGCGTCTCATTGCCGCGTTGCTGGTTTGATACTTCCATTGCGAACGACATTATAACCTGACAAAACACGGTTTCTTGTAGTTTCTAGCATGTTTTTAGGTCAATGACTGTTGCTGAAATGCATGCTAATTTCATCGTTAGTGATTTATACAATTGTTTTCTACTTTCTAAAATAATGAACAGATATATTTAAATGTTGTCTATGACCTTCACTTTAATTATATACATGCCTGTGAAAAATCAGAAAAATAAGTAGCATAACATTTTTTTCTCCTATAAGATTGCTTCTTAAACACAAACAAACATTAACCAGAAACAGTTAACTAAAAAATAAAGTAAACGACTATGGCGCTCGTTAAGCACCATGCGTTTCGTCCCGGGCATACCCATTGGACTCGTCGCTAAAGCTTAGCTAGGCCCTACCTTAAACGCCAGATACAGTTTTAGTATTGGAAGTTGTAATTGAACCGAAACGGCGCAGATGTTATTGGGTGAGATATAGCTGGCATTTCGGTTGGAGTTGCGACTTGAGCAATGGCGGATAGAGTTTGCCACACGACTTTCTCTGAGGTTAGGCGTCGCTATTCGAGCAAGGCCCGGCGGTTAAAAACCATGTATGTGCATAGCGGCAACATGGCAGTGAGACGCGCGAGCGCGGTCAGCCAGGACTGGTGCGGACGGTTAAGAAAAAAATATCTGCTCAGATTTACGCCATTAACCTTGATTCCACTATCAATGTTCTTTGGTGCTTTCTTGAAAATGAACTCTCAAAACAAATTAAAAAGGAGTGGCGACGTAATGCATCCTTGCCTCACGTATCTCTACTTCCTCTGAAACGTTTTGATGACGTGTAGGTCTTTGTCATGAATGACTACTTGCTTTATAATCTCCATCACCTTGTTATGTTGCACTTTATCGAAGGCCTTTTCAAAATATATGAAGCACATATACACTGCGTTGTTAATGTCTCTACATCTCTGCTCGGGGACCTGGAGGCTGAACAGTGATTCTCTCGTTCCTAGGTTATTGCGGAACCTAAATTGCGTGTCGCTCATTTCTCACTCAATTTTATTATATACTCTGGAATGTATTATTCGCAGCAAGATTTTTCGTGCATTACTAATTAGGCTGATGGTACAGTATTCACTGCATCTTTTTGCATTGCGCCTCTTAGATATCGTTACAAAGGTTGACCTGATATTTCCAGTGTTGCATATTTTGTTGAAAAGCAAAAGGAGATATTATTTGCCGTTTGTTGCTAGCAGTTGAATGATCTCTATAGGTATCTCATCTGAGCCTGCTGCTTTCCTGGTTTTCGCCAATTTTATAGTCCTTTCTAACTCATTTATACCTGTTGACCTGTTGTAATATCTTAGGTTTCGTTTTCAGATTTTGCGTGGTTAAAAAGTTATTCTATATACTCCTTCCACCTCTTTAGACTTAAGTTTTGTACAAGCTGCTAAAATGGGTCAAATGCCAAAAATCAGTAGTCTCGATGTTGACCAGTGCGACATTCAATTTTATTTTTCGTTCTATCCTAATTTCTACTTCGTTTGGTGTTATATCTTCTATTGGCCAACATTATTTGCTTTCGTATAACCAATCAGGTCCCTCCCACCATTTTGATTTCACAAGCTGCTTTGGTGTACAACCTCTTGATGAGATGTCGGCAGGATTTTTTATTCCGGGAA